TGTATTAGGCACTTCAACATTTTTAGAAAAAATGTAAAATGAAAACAAAACAAACTTCATTAGTTTGAACTAAAAATCAACAGTTAAAAAATAACAAACTTATCGTTTTATTATTATTAGTTGAAAATTTGTTTAACTTTTAAACTACAAAATTAAAGCTTTTTATTGTATGATTTTTGAGGTTTTCAGCAATTTAACGTTTTTAAGAATCGCATCAACGTTTTTGGTTTTATACAAAAGCAAAAACGTTGATGCGTTTAAACAAGACCGTTATTATTTAAAACTTTAAAAACTTTAAAAATTTAAATATGTAATACCAAAAATTTTATAGTAAATGGAATTTCAATAATAGGAAACAACCTACATTGGACATAATAAGTCTGTGACAACTTTTTTTAAACATTTTATTTAATGGTAACGCAAAAAAGGGTTTTTAAAAATAATAAAATGATTTTAAAAACTCATTTTATAAAACATAAATAACGTATAACAAGAAAATGATTTAAAAAGAACTTTAAATGACTGTTTAAATTAATATTAAACTGTTTAAATTAATATTATTTAAATAATGTTTTGAATTTGAATTATGTATGAATCAACCTTAGCCCCTATATTTATTTTGTTAAATTTTAAATATTGCCTATAGTGAGGAAAAAGCAAGTAAAAATATCTCAACAACAAAGTAACGCTCGAAGTAACCCTCAAAAACGCTCAAAGTAACGGTTTACGGTAACATAATAAAAACTAAAGTAAAAGAGGAAAATGCGAGTTAAATTATTAGTCCTACATATAGATCAAATAAATGAAATGTAATTACCGTTGCAACTTGGCCCATCCGTTTAGAGCTTTGAAGAAAGCTGTTGCATTCCGAAGGTTTATCTTTAGATCTTTTACATGCCATTTTTGATACCGATATTGATATTTTTAAAACAATATGAATAGTAGAGTGATACTGCGAAAAAAGCAATATCGATAAAATTGTTGGTTATGTATAGAAAATTTCAATATGACAAATTAAGTCGTTAGTAAAATATTGCCAAAAATCTATTGCATAACTGGTAATGCGGTATACTAAAGTATGTTAATTAAAACTTCTAGACAGCAATTTCATGACACGCGTTAATGCGTTTTTAATCAAGAAAACAAAAGTATTTAGAATTTTTAAATGAAAAATAAACTTTATTATAATATAGAAATAACCCAACTGTATTATAAAAATTAAAGTTTATATAGTTTTTTAATTTTTTTTTACAGATATAGCTATATATATATATATATATATATATATATATATATATATATATATATATATATATATATATATATATATATATATATATATATATATATATATAGCTATATATATATATATATATATATATATATATATATATATATATATATATATATATATATATATATATATATATATATATATATATATATATATATATATATATATATATATATATATATATATATATATATATATATATATATATATATATATATATATATATAGAGAGAGAGAGAGAGAGAGAGAGAGAGAGAGAGAGAGCGAGCGAGAGTTCTATAAATTGTTGGCTTTGAGAGTACGGAAGGTTAAAAATGATTCTTTTAACAACAAGTTAAGTCACTTTTAATTACTTTTGACATTCATCTAACATTTCCGTGTTGTCATAAAGTTAAAACCATTAACTTAATTATTTTTTAAAAAAACCGCAAAAACGCAAATTTAATTGACCAGAATGTTTTTAAAAACATTAAGAATATTTTTAAAAATATAAACAATGTTTTTATTTTATTTTTTAAATAAAATGTTTTTGTTTTTATTTTTTTAGTGTAAATCATGTGCGATTGTTGCTATATCGACTACCTTATAGCCTGACTGACAAATAGCCTGACTCGCAAAGGAGTGCTGCTACATCGACTGAAGGTTTGGTTTGGGCAGTCAGTCTATCAAATAATAAAATAAAAATAAATAAAAAAATTCCGGTCTTGCAATAAAATTATATACATATATATATATATATATATATATATATATATATATAATATATATATATATATATATATATATATATATATATATATATATATATATATATATATATATATATGACGGGATTGTATTTAGTAAATTAAAAACACCATCTAAGTTTAATTATAAATAATAATATTGTATTTAGTAAATTAAAACACCATCGATGTTTTTAATTTACTAAATACAATATTATTATTCGTAGTTAATCTTTACTAAATAAAATATTATTATTTATAGTTAAAACTTACTACGCTTATCTACCATCTGACCAAAATTTTATTTCCATACGTCTGTAACAGTGCGCATAAACTACAACTGTTTAAAAAACTACCGACATTTCGTGCTAAAATATAGATAGCTTATAAGCCCTAATTTGTAGCTAAAGAATTTTCGTTATCTTCTAGCTAGCTAAATCACAACTATATGCAGCTATCGACATTTTGCATTCAAATCGATTGCTAAAAAGCTGCGATGTGTAGCTGTCGACATATCGTAATAAAATCTTTACTTTTAAAGTTCAATTATTATTAGCATTATTTATGGCGACCATGTAGCTAGCTAAAAAGGCTTACAAATATGAAACTATCGATAAATCGTAACAAAATCGTTGTCAATAAAACTGCATTATATAGCTAGCAAGTAGCTATCGATTTGTGGCTAACTTGTAGCTAGCTACAAAGCTACAATATGTAACTAGTGATAAATCGTAATAAAATCGCTATCTAAAAACTGCGATATGTAGCTATCAACTAGCTATCAATTTGTGGCTATTTTGTAACTAGCTACAAAGCTACGATACGTAACTAGCGATTAATCGTAATTAAATCGATAGCTAAGAAGCTGTGATATGTAGCTATCAAATAGCTATAGATACATCGCTATCTAGTTGCCAGCTAAATAATCGCATTTATTTAGCTGGCAACTAGATAGCGATGTATCTATAGCTATTTGATAGCTACATATCACAGCTTCTTAGCTATCGATTTAATTACGATTAATCGCTAGTTAGCGTGTAGCTAGCGTCATATTGTAATAAAATCGCTGTCTATAAAACTGAGTTATGTAGCTATCAACTAGCTATCGATTTTTGGCTACCTTGTAGCTAGTTACAAAGCTGCGATATGTAACTAGCGATAAATCGTAATAAAATTGCTGTCTAAAAAAATGCGATATGTAGCTATCAACTAGCTATCGATTTGTGGCTAGCTACAAAGCTACGAAACGTAACTAGCGATTAATCGTAATTAAATCGATAGCTAAGAAGCTGCGATATGTAGTTATCGAATAGCTATAGATATATCGCTATCTAGTAGCCAGCTAAACAAATGCGATATGTAGCTAGCGTCATATCGTATTAAAATCGCTGACTAAAAAACTGCGATATATAGCTAGCGATGTATCGTTACAATATCGCAATGTTTAAAATTCAATTATTTTCATAATTATAATAGATCCAACACTAAAAATCAAATTTTTAATGATGTTAAAGACTTAGGGAAAGAATTAAATAAGAAAAAAAAAATCGCTCGAAAATCGCTATAAAGCTAGCTAATCGCTAGCTCGCTTCCCACCGGGTAATGTTTGCAGACGGCACAAATTACTATATTATTTTAAACTATGAATTTAGAACTTATTTGAAACTATGAACTTAGAAGAAAAAATAAAGTTTCTTACTGGTTCAAAGTAAATAAATTTTCAATAATTATTGACAAAACTAACTGAACTCTATTTCACCCACTTTCCAAAAAAAAAACTAATACCAGACGAATTGTAATCTATATTCATTGATAATATTCAAGTAAAAAGAGTAAAAACTACTCAGTTTTTAGGACTATATATTGATAAAAATCTTACATGGAGACAGTACATTGAAAATTTAAGCAACAAAATTTCAAAAAGTAGAAGAGTATTATACAAATCAAAAAGCTGTTAAAACAAGCGCACTTTAATGCAACTATATTATTATTTTTCTTTTTTTATTAAGGTGTCCCAGAAAAACCTAACGGTCTTGTCACAGAGCACCACGGAAGTGCATTTAACCAGGAAGTTCACGCCTCTTTCCTTACCGTGACGTGAAATATGTCCAAAGCTCGTTTCAAAACTGGATTTCCCGCTTATAAAGCAAGCGCTCTAACCACTGCGCCACGGCTGCATATTATTCACTTATTCACTGCCGTATTATTGCGTAGGGCAGTATTAACAAAACAAAACGAGATCCTCTACATCGTCATCAGAAATATATAGCACGTTTAGTTGATTCTTGGGATCGACGAACTCATTCAAAGCCTCTCTTAAGAAAAATGAATGTTTTAAACATATATTAACTTAACGTATATAATATTCTTTGTTAAATGTAAACAAAATTATCTCCGTCTCCGTTTCATAGTTTATTTATAACAAAACAAAAAAATAAATACGATCTACGATATGATGATTTTTTGATGCAATCATTTTCGAAAACTAATCATTGTAAATTTTGCGTATCATTTCGTGGACAGTATCTTTGGAACAAAATTGTCTTAAATAACTTTGATTTTTCTTTTGAATGGAATTACATATCTTTTAAAAAAAGTTGAAAGAAATAGTTTTAAAATTGACAATATAATGGGTGTTCACATGAAATCCGGACTGACTTTAAGTCAATGTAAATCTGACATAATGTATTGCAATTGTACCATGTGATACATTATTTTAAAGCGTTTAAATTTAGCTTTAATATGCTACATTTATATTTAGATTGAATGATTATTCAAATTGAAAATGAAACCTAAACAAGACGACACTCGAAAACGTGTGTACAACTTCTATATTGAAAATAAAGAAAAAGGCAAAGAGTACACCGTAGATCATTTTGAAAAAAAAAATTGCCAGATCGACCATCTATGATATAATTAAACGTGCTGATGACGATTCTGGATATCTTAGACGTCCTGGTTCAGGAAAAAAAGCTCTAAAAATGACCCAAAAAAAAGTACAAGCGTTAAAATCAATGTTTGATCATAATGATGGCGTTTCTTATAGGAAAGCAGGTAGAAAATTTAGAATATCAGCTTGTTATGCCCATAAAATTATTCAGACAAAATCAAAGATCAAGAAAAGAAAGAAGAAAAAGATTCCACATCGAGCTAATGATCAAAAACTGATTGCTAAAACAAAGTGTGGTAGATTATATCGAGCTTTTAGCAAATTTGATTGGATCATTGATGATGAATCTTATTTTACTCTTTCTCATTCATCAATCAACGGAAACGATAATTTCTACACAAGTGACATAAACCTTTGCCCATCTAGTGTCAAATATTATACAAAGCGAAAGTATGAACCCAAGCTCCTGGTCTGGGTAGCTTTTTCTGTAAAAGGAATGTCAAAAATTCTAATCCGTCAAAGTGGTCTTGCAATCAATCAAAAAATCTACTTAGAAGATTGTATTAAGAAACATCTTATTCCTTTTATTAAAGAGCATCATCAAGACAGTCAATTCGTATTTTGGCCAGATCTGGCGACGTCTCATTATGCTAAATCTGTTCAAGCTTATTTAAATGGACAAAACGTCAGATTTGTACCAAAAGAAGATAACCCTGCAAATGTACCAGAAGCAAGACCTATTGAGGATTTTTGGTCAATAATAAGGTTTAGTTTACAAGGATAATTGGCAAGCAGAAAATTTAGAACAACTAAGGAAAAGAATAGTGTATTGCTTCAGCAAAGTTGATATCAATCTTGTACAAGAGTTTGCAAAGGGTATTTTATCAAGAATTGATTCTCTAAGAAGAAAAAATTTAATTGAAAATAAATAAAGTATCATATTATAGAGAATTAAATGCTGATTTTAAATCATATTTTATTTTTTTAAGTTGATAAAAAATAAGGGAGTTATGACCCTTTAAAGTCAGTCCGGATTTCAAGTGAACACCCGTTACAAATGTACTTTTAAAACCTTTTAAAATTATTTTTATTTTTTATTTATATCGATTTATATCACTTGTGATGTTTAATTTTTCTTATTATGATTAGTAAATCAATTATTTACAATATGCAAGCCTATTTTGCTATTATATTATTTGTCAAATTAATCTTTACGAAATTTTTTGTAAACTTTTAATTTTTTTGTAATTATTTTTGATTTAAATTTATTTATTCTTTTATTATTGCAAAACTTACTTTTTTATTTACTACGTAAAATATTTAACTTGTAAAAATGCTAAATCGTCTTTTTACAGCGGTACTGGACAACAAGACCATATGGTCTTCTACGAGTTTCTGCATTCTTTATATATATATATAATATATATATATATATATATATATATATATATATATAGTAAATATTTTTATTTGTAATTGTTTATATTTTTTAATTTTAGCTTGTAAATTTTATGAAATATTAACGTGATGTTTTAAAATGTAATAAAGAACAATAACAACAATTAAAATGTCATAAACAATTTCCTGGTTTTTAATGCGACCACAGCTACTTAATAAATGTTTTCATTATTCAACAGTTAACAGCTGTACTGTACAACAAAGGTGTAAGAGAGGGGGGCTGCAAATGAATAAATCTTTTTTACCATAAATATCTCACCAAATTAGGGATTTTTTTTTTAATATAAAAGCCAAATTCAGTTTTAACTGACCGAGTCTCAAATTTTCTAAATTACCGACAAAACCGACAGAATGTTGTAAACCTGGGAAGGTGCCCACACCCCAGGCCTTGGCAGGGGAGATTATTTTTGATGTGCGATTATTACTGCGTACTACCTGTAGCATGCAGCATATAAAAATATAAGTTAAACGTTCAATAAGCGTACCGAATTTGATTTAATTGACTAAAGGGCTTTACTTGTACATTCCATGCTGATTGGGTGTTTATAAACAGTTGCAACAACATCATAGGCAGTTGTCTCCGAGCTGAAAAAAAATAAAAATAATCGAACTTTGCTTAAAAAATTTCTTTTTGAATAACAGTTTAGTTCGACTAGGCTCTAGGATTCACAATTAGTAAAGTGTTAAATTACGAGAAAATAATATTTATCGCCTTAATTCTAACTAAATAAAGTCGCTTTAGTCGACTAAATTTAGTTACACTAAATATTTAGTCGACTAATTTGAGTTAACTATAAAGTTAGTCGACTAATTTTAGTTAGCTAAAAAGTTAGTCGGGTAATTTTAGTTAACTAAAAAGTTAGTCGGGTAATTTTAGTTAACTAGAAAGTTAGTCACGTAAATTTAGTTAACTAAAAAGTTAGTCGGGTAATTTTAGTTAACTAAAAAGTTAGTCGCGTAATTTTAGTTAACTAATAAGTTAGTCGACTAATTTGAGTTAACTAAAAAGTTAGTTAACTAATTTTAGTTAACTAAAAAATTAGTCGACTGAGTTTAGTTAATTAAAAAGTTAGTCGACTTATTTAAGTTAACTAAAAAGTTAGTCAACTAATTTTAGTTCGACTAAAAATTTAGTTAAGTATTTTTAGTTAGACTAAAACTAACCTTAACTCCCACCCCTAATATATATATATATATATATATATATATATATATATATATATATATATATATATATATATATATATATATATATATATATATATATATATATATATATATATATATATATATATATATATATATATATATATATATATATATATATATATATATATATATATATATATATATATATATATATATATATATATATATATATATATATATATATATATATATATATATATATATATATATATATATATATATATATATATTTACAGAGCCATAAAGTTTTCAATAAAATAGTTATTAATTCATCATCCAACTGCTTTATAACATTAAAAGATCACTAATAAATTTTTGTGTCTATAGGACAGGGTAAAAATTGTTAACATCAAAAACTAGGAATTTGTATAAGTGCTTATTGGTGATTTTTTTAAACTGATCTTCAACGTTTTGTATACTTTGCCATCGATTCAAAAAAATTTTATTTTTAAGTTCATAATTAACTTTTGTTAAAATTACTTTAGTAATTTGTCCTACCTCATTTTTTGAAGTATTCAAAAGGCGCACAGATGAGTTGTTAACGAAGTTTTCCTTGTGGTCTTTTAAAGTGAAAAAACAGTTAGAAGATCCGTTTATTTCAATTTTTTAATATACCTCTTGATTGGTTAAAATTTGTTTTCCTTCTTTGTTTATATGCTCTTTTAATTTTTGATTTGCTTTTTTGTAGGTAGTGGTAATAGCATTTGTTAACAGATTATTGTAATCAGGGCCGCCGAGAGGAGGGGGGGCAAAGGGGTATACGTGCCCCGGGCGCAAAGATTATAGGGGCGCCAAAAAATGATATATATATTTTATAAGCGTCTATACGATGATTAACTTTTAACTTAAATGTTTTGTGATTTTATATGATGTTTTTATAGTATAATTTCATGAAATAAATATAAAGTTTATTTAATTTACAACGACGGTTTTCATGTTTATGGTTATTATGTTTGGTGCAGTGAGTTTGCTTTCAAAGAGAACTTTTTTTTATATATATGCATACTATAAAAGTGACGACGTATTACATTTTGGCATTAAATCTCACGAAAGTGTTAACGCGCATATTTCAATGTCAATCTATGCAATTGCATCTCAAATGTCAAATCTGCTTATTTAAAGGTGAAATAAGAAAAAAGAAGAAAGAAAAAAAAAGGAATAAATTAAAAAATTGTATTTTAATTTATTCCTTTTTTTAGGTTAAAAGATATAAATAAGTATAGATAAAAAAAAAAAAAAAAAAATAAAAACGTAACACAAACTAAAAAAAAAATGTTCGAAAATAGTAAATAAAAAATGTACGGCAATCAAAGAAACTTTAGGGTCTGAAGTAGCGAGGTGGCATGAAATATTGCGCTGTATTTAGGATGTAACATTGTTTCTTTCATCACAAAACATGGCGTTTAGAGATAAACGTTATTTTTACTTAACTATTGATATTTATTGTATGAACAATCTTTTTTACAGATTCTTGTGTTATTAACAGGTCAAACATCTGTTCTTGGAGAGCAAGAAAGTGGTATTTTTTCTAGGAGCTCTAGACATGATTTCAAACCACAACAAAACGTTAAAAAACCATCAAGAAAACGTCGCTCGTCATCAAAAAAAGAAAAACTCGAATGCAGCACACTACCTCTCATGGGAATCACAGAATGAGTTCATACGTGAGTGTGCTTCATTGGTTCAGTGTGCCCTTTTAAAGGAAACGAGAGAAGCTGGATACTTTACAGTCATTATAGATAGAACCCCAGATGTTTCACAAACTGAAAAGATCACTTTTATTCTTCGCTTTGTTCATTTCAGCTTCAACAAAAAAAGCTGGGAGGTAAAAGAGCGCTTTTTTTGCGTTGAAGACATGGAGAAAAAAAAGAAGTGGATATTGCAAAATTATTTTGTGATGTTTTAATAAAAGTAAGTTTTGACTTGCAGAAATGCCGCGGCCGAGGTTACGACAACGACTCAAATATGGCTGGAATTTAACTTGGAGCACAAGCTTTAACTTTACAGAAAAATCCATTAGCCCTCTATATTCAATGCTAGTATTTGTTGCAGAGGGTGAGCGATCCTTCAGTAAACTTAAATTGATAAAGAATTATTGTAGGGTTACTATGGGACAAGAACGCTCTTCGTATTACATGATGCTTTCAGGGGAAAAAGAGTTAGCTAAGACTCTGTCATATGATAATATAATAACATATTTTGCCGGTAAAAAAGCAAGTAAAGAGTTTTTTATATAAGCCATTTTTTTATTATTTGAATTTCTAAAGAATGTCTAATACTGCATTTATGATGTATTTGTGACGCTTAGTTGAATTTTTTTAAGACGCAATGTTTGAAAATATTGCCGTAAAATGATTTTAACAGAAATAAACCACAATTAAGGAAATTCATTTTAAAACCATGTGCACTCATATATATGCAAGATTGCATTTGATAAAGTTTTTTTTTTTATAATGTATCTTTAAAGGAGCGCTTACTCAACGCTTTGCCCCTGGCGCCATAAAAGCTCTCGGCGGCTCTGATTGTAATCCTCCTTGGACACCTCGTACATATTTGATGTTTTGATGTTCAACTTTACAGAGCAAATATTTGTATAAATATCAAGATATATATATATATATATATATATATATATATATATATATATATATATATATATATATATATATATATATATATATATAATATATTCGAGTCAAAGTATTTTGATGTGTCAATACGAAGACTCTTGCACGTGTTACAGTGCTCAATATTACTTAATAATAAAGCTATATAATTATATTTTGTGAAGAATAAAAACAACTGATTAACGGGATCTAAAGTTTTATACGAACAAAAAACGTAAACAAAGCGTAACAAAAACGTAAAAATTACTGTAGAATGACTTCTGACGTTACAAACAATCTACGTAATGCTACGAATGATACGTAATCTACGTAATTCTACGTAAATCAAAAAACATTCTACCTAAAAAAAAAAAAAAAAAATTCTACGTAAATCAAAAAACAAAAAGCTGTTATAGTTTACTAGTCCCCTGTGTCAAATAAAGATAAAAAATTTTTTTTTGAATGTCGACACTGAGATACGATTTCTTTTTTTTTTATTTAGCAATGCCGG